AGTCATGATGTATCTTACAGCAGAGCTTGATACTATGTTGATATGTTTTAAACAGTCAACAGTTTGTTAAACTCACAGGAGATCTCAGTTAAACATGGTTTAACAAGGACAATGAACTGAGTAAGATTAAATGGCCCAAGTGGAGGGTGTGGTTTAGTAACACAGTCTGTCCACAGGTTGGGTGTTGTTATATTAGAGATTATCTTAACTTCTAAACAGCAAAGATTACAAAGCATCACAAACTGAAGAGAAAACTGCTGTGTATAAGTGCAACTGAATAGAAAACATAAGTGTTTATTCTGCTTTTGAAGTTAAATGCACGTAAGTTAAATAAACATTTTGACTACGACTAATCAGACACTACAAATTGGGAGTGGAGGAGTCCGGTCTGGCAAATCTGTACCACATATCTTAGTAAAACATGAAAGATTTGAATTTCAAATTTAATGGAAAGTTTCTGCTCATATTTAGAGTCTCTTCTTTGTGTTGTGTGGAGCTTCAGTGCCAAGATTACCTCAGAACAACAACAACAAAATTCTACTGGAGCTTTTTGCAATTCATGGATAGTGTATTTATAAGTCACTGAGTATGAAAAAAAAAAAACAAACCTCCCAGAGAAAACGAAAGTAAAGCAGTAAGTTTTGTTTTACAAGAAATGAGAGAGGTGGAGGGTTGGGCTCCACCCACAGCCTGCAGCAACTGTTGGTCAATTGGAAAGTTTCCAACATTTATTCATTCATTTTAATTCATAAAAACATGCTAATGACATATAACTCATTGTGCAGATAATCTGATACCCCCTCACCTAGCAAACAGATAACAATGTTTTCACAGTAAGTATAAACAGAGTGCTTAATGGGCAGGACACAGTTCCATTATTGACATATATGTACATGGCTCAGAACAAACACTATTATACAGCTGTATTATTATTTGTAATTTAAAAAAAAAAATTATTAGCTTTAATAATAATTAGCTTAGTTAGTGACTAGCTTAGTTAGGGACTTGCATGTCAGTCAGTAAGAGATAAACGTGTCAGTTAGCACTTTGTGACGGTGTCTGCACAGCAGCTGTTTCCATTACTTACACCTCTCTTCAAACCATAATCCCCACTGTGAGCACAAAGACCTCCCACTATCCCTGTATCAGACGCATCTCATTTCAAAGCAAACATATGTGCTCACATGTGTCAGCAGAATTCCCCTTCAGGGTCTCCATGGCCCAAAGGGGCGAGCCCAAACAAAGGTCCCTGATGGGTGGTGTCAGGAAGAGAAGCTGGTGTAGAAATGACATTTTTAGCGACCCTTGGTGAATAAGGGAGTTGCAGTAATGTACCATGGGACATATATGGGCCCTGCAGTGGACTGTACAGTCCATTGAGCATGTTTACTGAGTCGGGCTGCTTTTCTACACACAGTTGGTGGGAGGATTTGAAGCATCATCAGGACACTGTAGACGCTGTAGAATCTGAGACATTTCAAATAGTCATCACTTCAGCAGGAGGCTGGTAGTCATCTGGACCCTGAATCTGTCTTTTGTGTTTTCTATAGATCAGTACAGCAAGAACACCAAAGACAAGAACAGTGGGAACTGCCACAATGAGAATACTGTTACGACTTCTTTGTCCCTTCTTCTCTCCATCCTCCTCGTCACCTCCCGGCTGCCCTGTAGGTTATAAACAGGTGTCAGACATTCGCACCAGCTGCTTTCTACAAAGTCTCATCAACAACATCTTTAGAAACAAACATCAACAACCAGGAAGCAGCTTCACCTCTGATCACACACACACTCAACTCTACTCACTCACCTGGAGGATCAACACTCAGTGTGATATTGCAGAGAGATATCCATGTTTTTTCCATGAAGACGTGACACTCATATGTTCCATTGTCATTAATCGTCACATTCTTCAGAATCAGAGACACGTCTCCATCCTTCATCTGTTTATCCTGCAGATCCACCCGGTTTGTAAAAGATGGATGCTGCTTGTCTTGAAGACTCTGGTCATCTCGGTACAAAAAGACATATTTGTCTCCCAAGTCAGCTCTGCTCCACTCTACCACTATGATGCTGCTGTTTGCAGCTTGACATGATAAAGTGATGCTTTGTCCAGTGTCAGCTGTGATGGTTTTCTGGCCTGACAGAAGAAACAACAGAGCAGCGAGTTCACAAACGTCAGAGACAAAAGGCAATGAAAAAATCCTTAGTTGAAATCCCCACCGCCCCTCCCATTTAACGACACATTGCATATGCGCAGTAGAAGAACAGACTGAACTGTGAGCGCTGATGTGTCAGTTGTGTTAGATGTTAAATAATCACAATTACAGTATTCACCAAAATAATTATGATTATAACTTCCTGTAATTGAGCGGCTTCTCTGCTCAGTTTACTTCTGTTGATCTATTTGTTTTTACCAAGATTATCTTTGAAACTTAACCAAGAAATTATCAGTAATACTGTTTTTAACAAAGTGCCAAAATTGGGCTCTGAATGCTTTCCAACACCGACCCCCTCCAGCTAAGAAATGAACAAAAAAGTTCAGTGTTTAAAAGAAGAAAACGTTGATTTCCTGTACAGTTCAACATGAAACCGGTTAGATCAAGATCGTGTTTAGAGAAACAAATATTCTGGCAGCACATTTATGTCAAAAAACAGGGAGAAAAGAAGTTAAAAAGAATCTTGTTTCCAGAAACAAGAATCACAATAATCTATACTTGTGACTATTTCCCAAACTTTCACCAAACTGTGTCACAGCCCTATAAATCCTAACCACCAAAATCATGTTTGCTACATTATGAAAGTTTGGTAAACTAAAAGTCTTCTTTAATCTGATTTTAGTTTTTTACTTCCATTTTTTGTTGATTTCGAGCTGTTTATAAGCATTTGTCAGAGTGGAAAAATTCAGAGCTCACCTTCAGCGGCAGCAGCTCCGACACAGACGCACAGCAGAATGAACAGTGATGCACTTCCAGGCATGTTCGCTCCTCCTCCTCTCCACCCTTTGCTTTGCCATCTTTATCTCCCAAATGTCGCAGAGGAGCGACTTTTCCTCTTGTACTTTCAGCTTCTACCTTTAGGAGTCACCGCAGAGGATCATCTGCCTGCACTTCACCCGACATCGTCTCCTGTCGCACCAACACTCAGCATCTCCTTCACTACATCCAGAAATCTACTCTGTGGTCTCCTTCTTCAGCATACTTTGTTTAATATAATATAATGTAAATGATCTTTTTCTGTTTTTTTCTTGTTTGATTGATTTTGTGTAACATAAATATGTAAGAAATATATATAAAAAATTTACTTTGTTACGTGTTTTAATTTTCTGGTTAACTGACCAAAGTTACTAGGTAAACGTAGTTTAAGTGGGTATTAACAGCTCTGTATGGGGGTCACAGTACAGGAATGTGGATGGATGTTTTCCCGACTGTTTTATATTTATTTATATGACCAAAACTAGAACTACAGTGTGACAGTGGAACACCAAAGCTGACCTAAAATCTGGTATGTAACACAGAAATCTGAGGTGTGTCACATGCTGTAGTGTTCTCAGTATTTTTCCACTGGTGATGCACAGGGAGTGATTCTGCAGCCAGTTTGAACCAGCTCACTGTGCACACACACTATGTTGTTGGTTCACACTGCTTTGTACATTAGGCTGCTCTGAATGCAAATGTGGTTAACAAGTCTGTTCCCAGTGGTGTCTCATGTTTCACAGTCAGTTTGCCTGGCGTTTCTGTCAGAGCTGGCTGATTTCTCTAAATGCTAGATCTTTAAGGGCCTCCTTTATTGCCTCCCTTATCAGAGGATACAGTTGAGGATCCTTTGGGAAAGAAAAGGAGATTTGCCATCCCGCAGTTTACAACGAGTCACTATCAGTCAGGCCTGCTGTTTTCTAAAGTCTGGTAAACTTAAAGGTGAACTCTGAATGTTACGCGGTGAAAAAGATGAGATAAACGATCAAACTGAAGGTTGGAGTCTAACCTAGTTTAACTCAGGGGAATTTCATTTTTTCTCTCTCTAATGAAACTCATGCAAACCGTTTGATGACATAGATTTAAATAAAAAAGGGCTTTGGTGCCCCCTGGAGGTCAGTGTCTGATTTAACAACTAAGTGAGACTGGTACACACAGGGCAGTCATTACTTTATATATTTGCATATGCTGAACATGCTAACTTACAGTTAACATGTATGGATGATGGCAGAAATTCAGTCATCTAGTCTGTAGAAATGCCGAGTATATATATATTTAACAAAATAATTAATTTACTTTTGAAATTATTTTTGATTCCTGTTGATCTGCTCTTTAGTACCATATTAAAACAACTTCTTCAAAGTAAGAAACCCAAAGTACAGTAAAAGGCATAGAAGGAAATCCCCTTTTAGCGGTGCCTGTCCAGGGTTAGTGAAAGAGAAATTGAAACAAAGGAATAAAAACACAGGGTGAAATCCAGAGCCAGCAGATTTCCTGAGGTGCTTCAGTAAGAGATAAATCGTCTGCGATATTTCTCGTCACTTAACAGGTTGGTGTCAAACTAAAACTTAATTGTATGAAATATGAAACACAACAGTTTTCATGGATATGTTAGATTGTGGATGTTAGTCTAATAATACTGAGTAGTGTAGTGGGCACTGTGTAATACAGTGTGCTTGAAAATTTGTATAAATTGTGCCTTACTTCAAAGAAAGAATATAAAAATATTTTTACTCTATTTTAACCAGAATATTGAAATTCGTTTAAAGTAAGAAAAGTAAGATACAGTAAAGGCATGGCAGGAAATCCCCTTGTAGTGGTGCCTGTAGAAGGTAAAAGGTAAAAGAGAAACTGAAACAAAGCAATTTTCAAATATCGTTAGATGGTGTTTGTCAGTGTAACAATACAGTGGAGAGAAAAAATGCAGCTTGCTTGGAAATCTTTATAAATTGTGTCTTACTCAAAGAACCAATCTCTAAATAATGTTTAAATCTGCTTTGAACAAATTTTTCTTATCTGATTAAGAAAATGGATGAAGATGAAGAAATTCTCCTCAACAAGCTGAAAGGACTGGTTACAAATATCAAATGGAGCCCAAAGGAGGTCGCTGACTTGTTTGATGCCCTTTTGAAGAGATTTGAGTCATCAGTAAATGACAAATCACATCTCCTCACATGGATGGTAAAAATGTTGCACTGCATAGAGATTCACTTTATTACTTCAGACTGGAATAATGAAGATGGAAAAACACTTCTGGAACTAGTCAAAGACAAAACTGTAGCAGATGAAACCTTGAAGGAATATTTAGCCAATGACAGAGAGAAGACTCTGGACAAAATCATTGATGAAATCCGCCAAGAAAAGTTGAACCAGGTTGATGAAAAGCTTTTAAATGATATCAAAGATATTGTATCAACAGTTCATGAAGGGCGTGATATTCCTGAGGACGGCTCACAGAAGAGTGAACTGAAAACCATCTTAAAGGATCTCTGTTTGGCAGTGGAAAAAACAAAAATTAAAGATACCAAAAAGCCATTTCGGCCACGACTGACACAGATGGTGAGCTGGTGTCTGATGGCTCTTTCAGAAACAGGGCGATTGATTCAGGTTGGCACAGGAGAAGGGAAGACCTGCATCGTGGCCATGTTTGCAGCTTTTCGAGCTCTGAGAGGAGAAAAAGTCGACATCGTGTCAAGTTCATCAGTTCTTGCAGAGAGAGATTGTAAAGAATGGAAAGGATTTTATAAAGAGTTGAATATCACTTCAAATTATAACTGCAAAAGAACAGGAAATGAATTAAAAAAGTGCTATGAGTGTCAAGTTGTTTATGGCACTGCAGAAGACTTTGTTGGTGACTGGCTTCTGCACCACTTCCATAGGTTGGACATATTAGGGCAGAGGAAATTCCAGTGTGCAGTAGTGGATGAAGTGGATTCCCTGATGCTAGACAAGGGTCATCATGTAGTCTATTTAAGCAGTAACATGCCTGCTTTACAGCATCTCAACCCACTCTTGGCATGTATATGGGCCACTGCTAATCAGTACAATAAAACTGGCATAGATACAACTGTAGGACCAAAATATCCTTTTTATCAAGTGCTGGAAAACATGATGGACAAAGATGGTGACGAGTCCATCATTCGTCAGATAGCAGAGGACACAGGTATACTGTCAAAGGGATCAGTCAAGGACCTGAAAAAGAACCCGAGTCTCTTAAATGAAATGACTAAAAGTGTGACTGCTGACCAGCTGGCTGAGTTCTTCAAAGCAGTGGAAAGGAAATTTCCATCTTCCCAGTTTGCTCTCCACCTCATAAACAGCAATGGTGAAATAGACAAACTCAACAAAGAACAGCAGAGTGAAAAAGGGGAAACAAAAAGAGTGTCACTGCTTTTACTTGACGGTGGCTTCTGTCAGTACATGTACTCTGATCACAAAAGTGTGGTGAGAGCTGTAGAAGAGGAAGTAAGGAGTTCAATTTATTTTACACCATGTGAACTGAACCAAGCTAAAAGCAGCTGCTACATCCCAGGCTTCTTCTCAGGGCTGGTCAAATCTAAACTAAAAGTCTGGATTGAAAATGCATTTAAAGCTCAAGTCATGACAGAGGACCATGAATATGTGATGGAGAAACATGGAATTGTGCCTGTGGACTACAGCTGCACAGGGGTTGTTGAACACAACATGAAGTGGACTGATGGACTTCAACAGTTTATTGAAATGAAACACGAGTCAAAGATTAGTGACATGACAGCCATCACAAACTACATGTCTAATGTGGGATTGCTTCAAAAGTATAAAAACCAGTTTGGAAGTCAGATCTATGGGATGTCTGGAACTCTTGGTCAAAAAAAAGAGACTGAGACTTTGCAAAATATTTATGATGGTATCAAAACCTTTCAGATACCTGCATTCAAATGTAGAAAGCTGTTTGAGGTTGAAGGTGTTGTTGTCGGGGATGAAGAAGACTGGATTGAAAAACTCTGTGATGTTGTCATTGCACAAACCAGACCTACATCATACAGGGATCCTAGAGCTGTGCTCATCATCTGTGAGACCATCAAACGAGCAAAGATGATCCATCGCAGTCTAGGAAATAGAGTCCAGAACAAAAAACTTTATGTAAACAACAATATGGACAACAGTCTGGTCATTTCTAAGGAGCTTGAAGCAGGAAGAGTCATCATAGCAACAAACCTCGCTGGCCGTGGAACAGACCTTCAAGTTTCTGACACAGTAAAGGAAGCTGGAGGTTTGTTTGTTGTGCAGACCTTCCTGCCCAAGAATGCTCGTGTAGAGGCGCAGGCATTCGGCCGAACTGCCAGACAAGGATCTCCAGGATCTGCTCAGCTCATTATCTGTTTGAGTCATCTGGCAGAATCCCTTCAATTACTGCTTTCAACAAGGAAACTTTATTCTTTATATAGAAATCTAACAGATGTAACTCCGCTTAAACAACATCTGTTTGCAATGCAGTTAAGGTCATATCAGCAAAGGAACAGTAATAAAGCATCTGCAGAAATGTCTTCAACACTGAAGGATACTTTGACTAAAAAGTCACAGACGGAAATAAACATAGTTAAAGAGTTCAGAGAGAGCTCAGTGGCTAATGAACTATCAAGCTACTTGGAGTCTCAGATTCTATTCATGAAGAAGAAGGAAGAGCTCTTCAATGATTATCTGGATGTACTATATGTCATGTACAAAACTTGCAACAACAAGCCAGAAGCTTCAGATTTGTCTGCTCTGAATGAGTTTTGGGGTATGTGGCTACTCACAAGCTTCAGTGCAAAAGACTCTACTGAAGAGTTGAAAAGTAGACTGAAAACTGATCTGGACACAGCAAGGCAGAAACTCAGACAGAGAGAATCACCATCAATAAACCTCTACCACTACATTAGCTTTGGTAATGACCTGCGTGAAAACAGGAAGTTTACAGAGAGCATCAACATGTACACTAAAGCCATTCAGAGGGATCACTGTTGGGGAGCTATTGCATATTACAACCGTGCTTTTACATCTTTGAAGCAGCAAGACAGACGTCAGAGTTCAGACTGTATCAATCGAGCTCTAGAAGATTTGCAAAATGCACTCAAGTCTGTTCAGCTTCACTGTGATCAACTTGAAGTCACTCATAGGTTTTGAAAACAGCACATTAACAAAGACAATGGAGATTCACTCACAAGACTTGATGAACAATTCATGGCCAGATACAGAGTGTTGGTGTCATTTAAGGAACACGTTACAGAAGCCATAAAGAAAGTGGTAAAGGCCAGAGATGTGGGTGGGAAAATAAAAGTGGAAAAGACCACAGTCTATGCACTGGTTTCATTGGTGCACTCTGTGCCATTGAAGATGTTTTCAATGGAATCACTGCGTGCACTCCTCTCTAGAGACCCTCTGAAGTGCCTCCAACTCATCAGCAACCCCTCCTTTGATATTCCAAATGAGCTTAAGTCTCTTAAATCTCTGGGCCTGACTCACATCTATACCTTAGACACACTGTTTACAGTGGTAGGCTTTATCTCAAAGATTGGTAGATCCATAATGTCATTCCTTAAATTTGTTCGGTTCCATGGCAGGTAATCAGCTTGACCAAATAAACAAATGAATACATATCAGGAAACATGTTAGCAGATTAGATTTTACAGCAGGGGAACTGTGCTTCCTTACAGTGTAGATTTTCTTCATTTATTATATGACTACATGTAAAAGAAATCATTCATATATGTATGAAGAGTGTGGATTTGCAAAATATCTCAGAATATATATATTGAGACATTTCTTCTTCTGATTTTTTTAGCTTAATTTTAGTCTCACCATTTTATATATCTAAAGATATGTGATATAATTATATACTGTATGCAGTGAGCAAAACCAGTCATTTTTTGATTTGCTTCACTTGAACTACTTTAGTCAGAATTCCCAGTATTTTGTTAAAATTATTTGAACAATAGTTTATAAAGCTCATGATGAGTTGTCATCTAATGCAAAATAGGAATTGATGTTTAGTGTTTGATCGTTATTTTGTTATTGGTGTATTTAGATAAATAATTAAATATAACTGTATTCTTTGCTATGTTTCTTGACACTCAATGCTGCTTTTAGTTTGAGATATTCTGCTAATCATATTTGTTAACTTCATATGCATATACTTTAAGTTCAAAGAGATCATTGTCAAAGTAGTATTTTCTCATAAGATCCAGCCCTAACTGTATGCTTTATATACTATATGCTTTGTAAGCTAGACCAGACAATATTACATACAGAGAAAAAACCCAAAATCATATGACCCCCCTATTAGCAAGTTAAGTTAGTTATTCCTTATTTAACACAAAAGCACAATAATATAACTACATGCTTACAGGTTTGGCATACAAGAACTCGTAGGGATGGGAGGGTGTGTATGGTCTGTAAACAAAACATGTACAAAGGGCTGAGTATAATCAACATTCAAGTCATGAATTATGCTTCATTAACTGTCTTCCAGTATAACCAGAAATACAAATGAAAATTCCTATATGATCATCTTTGCATGGAAGTTTCCTACACTATTCAACAAACCAAACAGTGGCTTTTATTAATTTTAAATACACCCAATAATGACAAATCAAAGAACACAAATATCACTTTAGCTTACAGCTTACAAGTGTGTAGCATAACAGCTAGCCTTAGCAGCACGCACCACATGGTGAGCAGATTAATGAACATTGCAATTCTACACAAGCCGATTCGCTATATGAAATAAGAGGCACAGGACTGTCCTCTCCTATCAATGTCTACTCACAGTTCTTTAGTGACACACAAAACTACCACCACGCCTAGAAGTCCACTGTTGAGTGAGTTTGCAAGGTGCCTCTTACTAAATGTTAGCAAGAGGCACATGGTCTGTGCTCTGGACCATGTGCCCGATATCGCAATTGCATTTTCTCACCACAAGGGGACTCTCACACACAGTCAACAGCTTTTCCAACACAGACAGACCCACACCCTAGCCCACTGTCACAGTCCTTTCACAGAGGCAAAGAATTACCACATTGCTCTATACAGCGGTGAAGCTGTATAGAGCTTTTTGGATTTTGGAATTTTTTGGCACAGCGATAGTAAGGGTAGGAATACCAATTTAATAAATTTATTTCAATGATTAATAATAACGCATGCACACACCATTACAACATAAAACGGTGCCACTTTATTATGTGACACATGCAAACTACCACATCACATAGGTCAAAGTGTAGGAGCACACACCCAAAAACTTACCCCAA